GCACCGGGCAGAAATCAAACTCACTGAATTTATGCATTTCCTGTTCAAATACACGGGAGAAAAAAAAACGTATAAAAAATGGTCTTTACCTTCCAACATAACAATATCCATCAATGACCTGAGACAAAATTCTTTAAAGGAGGCGTTACAGTGCCTGTAAGAGGGCTGATTACACGTTAGCATCAAGCTAACATTAGCTCCGGGGCTAACTCCCTTCACTTTGTGCTTGTCCGCAGCAGAGGTAAACAGAAACAGGGAAGTTGGGGTCTTTATTATCAGCCACACCGACCACAACAGAACATTCACAGACTGACCTAAACTACTAGTATAACACACAGTAGCCTACCAGAAAAGTCATCGATCGCTAGCGGTATGAACTTTGTTAGCCTGTAAAAATCCCAAATGATCCTCATCATCATTGTTTGAGCCGCAGGGTTCAAAGCGTGTGGAAAAAAGTAGCGGCAAATCTTTCCTGTAGTCAATTGCTGCACACAGCTTTAAAGTTGAACCCTTAGAGGTTAAGATAAATTGCCACAGCCATCGGCGAAAGCTTGGGTTTATCGATCAGACCGGGAGCCGCAGGTGTCCCCTTCATTTATTAAGGAGTGTCCCATAGGGGGAGCCGGTGGGGATGTTCAACGCTTGGTTTAATAAACAGCCACCAGTTCACTGGCCTTTACTTCCAACTTCTCTAAAAAGGTGGTCATTTTGACCATTAGGAAAGTTATATAATCAATAGCTTTGTGACTATAAAAAAATATATAACCCTGTCCCTACCTGACTTTTCCGAAATGTCTCTCTGTATTATAAGTAATTTTTTTATGTATTAAAAATAATGACTTAACCCAGGATTTCGCACGGCGAACGTTGCAATTTTTCCGCGACTGATGTTGCAAATTGGTTGCTATAGCAACGATCTTCTCCTTACTTGTCTCTAGCGATCTTGAGTGTCGGAAGGCTACTGTTTTTGACCTTTATTGATCATAATGTCCCACCTGAAGCATCACTGGGCCAAAAGGAAAGCCATCACCACTCTTAACCATTGGGAGGCCCCATAGAGAACAGTGAAGAAACACTACCTTACCTCTGAAGTGGGTACCGTTATATGCAAACCTCTAGCCAGGTGGAGGAACGACAAAGTAAAGCATCTGAATAGAAAATACAGGAGCGCGAAATGGAAATGGAAGAACTCGAAATTGACACTTCAGAGGTGAGATCCATCTTATCAGATCCAATGTTTTAACTCAACAGAAAGCAGGAGAAGGAGAGTCTCTTCAGGTGCAGGTGATTTTTTTTTTTCCAAAGTGCAATGTTACAAACGTTACTTACTAGGTTGCAGAAGAAAGAACTCAAGTACAAGGTACAAGGAACAAAGAGCAGACCAAGGCATGAACATCAGGCAGGAACGCCAAAAAACATGAAGCATGAACACAAAACAAACTGAACTGAGTGAGGGAGAGAGGTATATATATATATATATATATATATATCCCCAGGGCACCAGGTGACATCAGTGAGACTAATCACAGAGACACAGGTGATTAACCCTAAACAGCAGGAACAGGAAACAGACAGACCTCACAGAACCTTTATTGTTACCTGAGGAATCATGGGAGGTTTGTCCTGGTTGATGCAAACTGCCCTTAGATCCGATTCTTACTTATCTCTTTTAAAAACCATGTATGTCTTCTTTGAGGATGAGTTATTAAGTTTTGTGAACTACGCCCTTCAGACATGTCTCGTCCCTAAAATATTTAATAGAAACAACATTAAACTGGTTCAGCTTGTACCCCTGTAACAGAAAAACCCTCTGGTAATATGATACATGCTCTTCAAGAACCCGTAAAATAAACCTTGGGGTCCCGCGAGTTTCAATTTGAGGTCCAGTTCTCTTTAATCTGTTCATTGCTTCCACTTCAACATCCTCAGAAGACACGGTGGTAATCTCCATAGCTACGCTGACGATACACAGCTCTATATCGCCACTTCGTCTCTTGAAGACACGAGGCCACTTAACAACCTCAGCAACTGTCTTTCAGATATATAATCATGGATGACGGAGAGGTTTCTTCTGTGATAAGAACCTTGACTCTGAGCTCAAGTTTCTTCCAGAAGAATGAAGGTTTCTAGTCTAGTTTCTTCTCCAGCCGCGTCGACTACTGTAACGCCCTGTTTTCTGATCTTCCCAAAAAGAGCATTTCAGCTCGACAACTCTCCAAGTTGAGTTGAGTTAGGACAGTCTGTGGACTGCGCCGCCCCTGGGACTGCCCCGCATGTAGCACCAAACAAGTGCCACATGGTGGTATTCCCTGCCATGGTGTTGGCTAATCTCTCCGTCCTGGTCAGGCTAGTCCTTGTGACAGCGACCCCGGGTGGCTGTGGTCGGGAAAACTTCATGATGTGGATGAGTCCCGGATAAAGCTTTCCTCACCAGGTTCCTTATTGCCCTTTAATAAAATCTCCGTTTGCAGCCAGGGTGTTTATGTGCATGGGTTGCGTC